CCCCAAAAATTTAAGTTAGCGTGGACCATTTATCTCACTACTTGGTGGTCTATCGTACTAGACTATGAAATTTCTGTTTACTTAAATATCAGGACCCCTGTATCTTTTTTCTTAACCATTGAAGACAGAAAAGCTTATTACCAACAAGCCAATACTTCCGAAAACTGGGCGTTCTCTTGACTTAATTGGGCTAGTTTTTAAATTTGTTTTTCGTCAATGCATTTCGAATTTGGAGTTCTGTACCTACTAGCACCCTTAGAAATAAATCAAAATCAATACAAAATAAATTCAAAGAAACTTTTTCCCTAAAATATCGATGGTTTCCTTATTTTGTGTGACGCAGCCCCGTATTTTTGAAAGTAAATGTTGTCCGAACAATACCATCCATTTCCAGCCATGTCTTTCGACAGCGCAATCCACTCATTTTCGAAAAAGTAAGGTGCAATGACCCCTCCATAAAGCGCACCAACAGTTACACGTTGGGGAGGGAGAGGATATTCAACAATTGATCTTCGGTTTTCCGCGCTCCAGATGCGACAATTTTTCTTATTGACTAGCCGGCGAGATGTAAATAGACCTCATCAGTCATGATTATTTTGCTATGCAATTTTTACAGTAAGTTTTAATAACTTCAGTGCATTGTTGAAGCGTGCTTCGGCCTATTTCTATTACTGGTGTAGTTTTTACGTTTCAAATGTCAAAAAATTGCATACTCAAACTAAAAGGGGTCAAATGTATTAAACCAAGATTAGTAACCAATATTTCACATGTAACATACTTGCCTCTCAATGAGGTTACTCATACGCCCCGTAAGACACTTTAGTGAAATAACATCGCAATCAGTTTAGTGATATCTAGTGCAATTAGAATTTTACTTTTTTAAATCAGCATTTTCAAAAAAATCTAGTGATGAATTCCCGATTTGGTTAAGCCACCATACTACTCCCACACCTACACCAAATTGGCCAGAACAATTAAGTGTTGTGCCAAAAATTCGTTAAATACCAAATTATTCTCTGTTATTTGTCATGTTAGTCATCAATTACCAAACACATTTCAAATTCTCTCAACAAAGTGATTGCAAGAGAAACACATAAAAATACTACAAATTTCGTATTTTTAACTTTAATCTCTATTTTAGACTTTTTTTGCAATACAGTTTTGAGGAACATTTTTGTTTTTTTTTTAAATTCAGTTAGAGGCTTGACATTGTTCGCCAGCATAGGAAAACCCGAAATTCTGTACTCTTCGCCAAATTTTGGCACGAACAACACAGATACACAAGATAAGAGCTGTTGATAAGAGCAAAGGAAACACTTTTGTTGTTATGCACAGGTAAACTAATTGATTTCGACAAATTACAAAGCAAAAAAAGAAAAAGCAAGATTTTGAGATTTCAAGATTTGGTTTTTTCTTTTGTTTTGTTTGTAAAATTCTTGAGATAAATGTTTCCAATTGCTTTCATTTCAAACACTCTTGCGCTGTGCACACAAAGAGCGAAGGATTTTGAGAAGCAACCAAAATAGCTTTGATTTCAATTATTGAGAACGTCAGCTTCTACAACAACATTGTTGGCATTGCTCTGTATATATGTATGTATGTATGTACACATTTAAACATTCATACATACTGACATATTTCAAAATTTTCTTTAATTTTTTTTTTTGTTTTTACTATTTATTCGTTTATTTTTCTTTGTGGCGTATATACATACATATGCATATACACGTACATACGTACACGTATGTATGTAGCCATACATATAATATTTGTAGTACTTGAGGCGTTTCTCTTGAATATACAAATTCAAAAATGATTTACATCCAAAAATAGATACGCGTGTTGTGGCTATTTGTTATTTTTCAAAAATTCGAAATTTTAAAAACGTCGAAAACTTTACGACACAAATAAATAAAACGAAAAGAAAGCGTAGTAGTAGAATGAAAAAAGAAGAAAAAAAAAACATTTACCATGTGGCCACTCGTGGCTGGCTAGCCGCTTGGTGTTCGATCGTTTGTTGTTACCAAAAAAGGTAAAATTCCTAGCATTTGCAGAATTTATGTGGGAAATGTGAAAAATTTCAATTTATTATTGGCTTATAAGGGCGTTTATAATGTGCATGTTGATACTAGCACTATAATTTATCGTTGAATTTAATTATATATATTTATTTATTAGTTCTATTGAAAAGCGTGCCAATGCTTTGGGGGGGTAAAGTCAATTTAGAGCTTGAAAAATATCCTCATTTTTTAAAATTTATTGTAGGAATATGAGAAAGGAATAGAATTTAAATTTAATTATTTTACTGAAGAAATATTGAAGTATAAAACGATATACTTTAATTATTATTGTGTTACAAAATGGTGGTGATAAAGTCCATTATTTAATCCATGTTTTTTTGAAAGGCGTCCACGGGTGGACCGATTTCTACTAAAGTATGAAGCCTGGAACAGAAAGCAACACGTTTTATGATATACAAACTACGGTCTTTGGAAGTACGAATTTGTTTTTTAACTAATCTTTGCTAAGTGTCAGATTTTTTTTTCGAATTGATTTTTGTGATAAGGTCGCAGTTTGAAGAATGAGCTTTTGAGAAAAACGCGCTTAAAGTTTTCATTGTACTCAGCGCGCGCTCTGAGGGATTGCAGCAAAATAAAAAGTTACATATCATTTCAATGACCCGAAGGCACACTTTGAACAAAAACAAAAAATTTGCGTTTTCCAAAATCCTTAAGTGAAAACATAAATTATGGTGTTTTATTGCAAAATTGCATAGTTAGACGAATGTTCTTGAAAATTGGTGTGCACCAAAGGGTTATTTTATAAAGAGGGAAGCCGCAATTTCCAAGATTATCAAAACAATATTTCATTTCTAACTTTTATAAATTTTTTAACGTCGCACTTATTTAACTTAGTTCTGAAATATATTTCAGAAGTGTTTTTATTTTAATCTTGGATTTTTAACAATTCTTTTATTGTTAAAGTAAGGTTGCATTCGGCCCCTCCTCGAAAGATAGGTCCACCTACAAGTTGTGGCCGATCTTGGAAGTGATTATCTATTTCATGAGAAGCGTTTCACAACTGCCAACAATAGTTAGTATGTATCAGCGTCTGTGTGGGACAACAGCATGGTTTTTACCTCTTCACAAATGAGGAGTGAGTGAGCCACCGGCATCAATAGTTTGAGAGTTAAAAGTAGACTCATTTGATTTGTCATCACATGTAATCTTTAAATATACATGGTTACCTTTCTCGCGGTAAATAAAATGTATTTAAAATTTTTCTTTCCCGAAATTCATTTATTACTATAACGTTAGAAATTTTGGCATTATATGTGAAACCCGACATCATTCAAGCGACCTCCTCCCGAATTTTTTCAAACCTCGATCCGCTTGAGGCAATTTCGGACCATTTTATGGCACATATTGGGCTGTATGTCAGCCATAACTTGGCGAATATTGGTTTTTAAGTGCTCGAAAGTAAAAAGTTTATCCGCATCTACACGAGATTTCGCATAGAAATGCAAAAAAAAAGTCCAGCGCAGTCCAATCGCATAGTAAGCTCTTAGCTCGTTCACAGAGTCTACTCGCCTGCTGAAGTAGTATTTCTTCTTGCTTCTGCTTTCTTGAATGGAACTCCGATGTTCGCTAAAACACACCCTCTAACGAATGTTGTGAGACATGGTGAGTTTGCCAGTTATGGTGAGTTTGCAGATGTCATAGCACAACTCTCTACTTTTGAGGGTACGGTTCCTGAAAAGGCATTAAAGCTACTCTTTTCCTCGGTATCTTGAGGTGAGTGTCCAACCTATTCGAAAAAATTATATATGTATACAGTTGGGTGTACTTTAACTCTTTTTTTATGGTAATAAGACCGATATTTTTCAAAAAAACACTTATTCATAGTTTGCTTTGGTTCAATTTTCAGTCGTTAAGCCCACTTGGGACATTTTTATTTGTTGAATATGGACCAGGGACTTGGAATCAAGTACGATTTGCTCAAAATATAAATAATACTTTCTTTATGGGCTAGTTGTTAAATAAAAACTATTTCTGTAAAAATAATACAAAGCAGCGTACAAGTGCTTTACGCATTTCACTAAGCTTTTATAAATATGAAAAATATTTAACTTCGCCGAAAAATTTTATCTTTTATCTTTATTACAAAAAAAAATTAAATAAAACGCTGTTATATATCCACAATTTTCCAGTGACGCAGTAAATCAATGTATATACGCATTGTAATACTTTATATTTATGTTATTATTAATTTTTCAACAACAAAGAAGTGAAACAATAACAAAATGTAAGGCCATTTGCTTGACTTTTCGGCAAATGTGGATCAGTTCATTTACCTACGCACGAGTTTCATTAACTTCCGAGCTCATATTGTCTCGGTATATGCATGTGAGTGTCTGTATATTGGCAATATTTCATCTCTTTGAAGTGCACATATGCATACAGACATAGTATGTACATAAATATCTTCCGCAATTATCTTGTGAAATAATAATTATTTTTGCAAAATATATCCTGATTTGTTAAGTTGGACATTTTATTATTCTAATTTTTATACAATTTGTATATTTATGTATAGATGAGTATTTTCCATAATCTTTATATATATTGGGACTACTTTTTACCGTCTTCCTGGTGATTTTCGAATATCTTCTCTAAAAAATTAGTTCTTTCTGTCCGTTTTCAATCCACTGAGCCATTCTTCGACCCGAACTGGTAACCCCCTCAGCTTTTGCATATTCAGAACATGACCTTTGAACCGTGAATATTTTTCTTTTGCGTCGATGTGTACGATAATGGAATGGGCTTACTAGTCTTGGCATAGTATCTTTCCTTCTTAGGTTAACGTAGTATTTACACTTTTCATCTCCAGTCGCGTCCCGTTGAAAAAAACCTATCTTCCAATTTATACATTGAATATTTTATTATTATATGTAAATGTAATGCATGTAGTTAATTGTTTCCTTTCTTTCATTTTTACAGGTGAAAACCACACGCATAACGAAAACGACCAAGTCTGGAAGCTCTTCAACACCAGTTACCCGTACAACTTGTGATATCGAGGAGATCTGGGACGAAGAAATCTTAAAGGAATTGGTGAGTGCGCATAAATATTTTACTCCGTATTATATACATATGTAACGGCATTCATTTAAAGACATTTAAATTTAAAAACAACCCGCTTTACAATTTCCAAATTCCACACAGCTTGAACAGGCCACAACATACGAAGAACGCCGGAAGATACGCGCGCGTCTACGAGATTTAATGGCGGAACGTGAAGGTAACGACTGACACATAATGATAATTAATGCAATTCATAATGCAGACAAAAAAAATTAAAAAAAAAAAAACTAAAAAAAATACAAAAATACAAAATATTAAAAGAAAAAAATGAAAAAGGTGTAAAAATTGGCATTTTTTCAATGAAACAAAATCTTTATGAATTCCAAGTGTTTTCTTAACATTTTAACGGTGGTGGGTGACTGTTAGTCGTCACTTAGTATTAAAAAATACATTTATTAAAAGAATATTAATTACTTTGGCATAGTTTTCGTAAGAAATAATAAAAATTCCATTTACTTTGTTTCTAGATTGATATTATATACATACATAGCTAGGCAAGTGTACATACATACAACTTGTACATAGTATATATCTTGAGTTTGGGTATCCAGCCAGTACAATACAGTATTTTAGGTACATATCGAACCGGTTGGTATGCATTTGTATGTGAAAGTTTACCTATAATGTTGTCATTATCCGATTTATCTCTAAACTACTCAGGTTTTTCACTTCATTCACTGCTCAAAATATCATACAATTTTTCTTTCATTTTTATTACCGTCATTTGCTGCCAACTTTTTCATGGACATATATAAAAAGTTATCTCATTTACACATACTAGTTGTTGTGGCACTTCGTGAGTTGAGTTCGTTTCGAATAACTGTACATTAATATACGAGTACTCGTCTTATACCGAAGACTAGTGCATTCACTATTTTCCACAAGAAAACGTGTTTCACCAATTTCAACACCCAGTTACCGTGTAATCTCGATCGAGATCTTGGATGTTACTCAATTATCGGGTTTCCAGATATACACTGTTGTGCTCGTTAATCGTTGTTCGTTTTCATACCAAATGTGCGTTCAATTATTTATTGTATATCTATACTTCAAGTTAAAAATTTTTGTAGTTGAAAAGTGCTTTTAGAACATAACCTCATACTTTTCCTCATCTATTTTGTATTTGTGGTGAATTTAGAGAAAAAAGATTTGAAATCGGGTGAGTTATCTGATAACGCGCCAGAAGTCGATGAAAGCAGTTCTAGTGAGTACGAGGAGATCATTGAGGAGGTCACTGTCACCGATTACAGTGACGCTGAAGGCGATCTTGCGGAAGAAGAACAAGTAATAGCAGTAGAGAATTCAAACGAAGACAACGCAAGTAAAAATAAAGAACTTTCAAAGAACCTAGAAGAAGAACAAGAAGAAGTTAAAAAAGAAGAAATCACTGTCGAAAATATCAAAGAAAAAGAGGGAGATAAGTTAGTTGAAGAAGTTGTTAAAAAAGTTGAGGAACTAAAAGCTGAAGCGGAGCTTGAAGGCGCTGAAGATAGCGCAATTTCACATTCAAACTCTACCGAAGCGTGCGCCGCAGATAAAACCGACTCGAAATCTGTCAATGACGACAAGGGTGAGTCCCTAGTGCCGCTATTGCAAGGTATATTGCAAAAGAGTTTGCCCAAACGCGCTGCCAAAGCACAGAATACTCAAGCCAAAGTACCAAAAAGCAAACCGGACCCGAAACCGAAACAAGCTGCCGAGAAAAGCACACACGCTCGTACAAATAAACAGGGCTGTAGTCATAGTTGTAGTTGTAGTAGTGAACGTAGTAGCGATTTGTGTACTGTTAATAATTGCAACAATAACAACAACAAACAACACAACAACAATAACAATAACAATAACAGTAACAGTAACAGTAAGGACAGTAAAACCGCCACGAACGACATAACACACGAGAAAACCACACAGACGAACACAGAGAAACAAACAAAAACAGAAACAACAAGTGACACTAATTTAAATACATCTCTAGACACCAACACAGCCCAGCCGACAATGACACGTGACATCGTTATGCCGAAGAGTGCCGCGCAGAGCGGTAGTGGCAATAATAAAAATATTCGCTCCAGTGACAGCGCCTCAAAGCAGAAACAGTTAGATAGGTTAAGTGTTCCGCAGAAGGAGGACTCGGGTACGGAAAGTGGAGAGGACTTGCGACTTATAGCCGCAGGTTTGCGTGATAGTTTGCAATTGCAAAGTGATACGAATTTAATTGAGGAGGTCACCGCCGCCTTGACCCGGCTGGAGATGTCGCTGAAAGAGGGTAAGGATATACCAGTTGATGGTAGTAAGCGTGAGGCACTGCTGGCTTTGGTGGCACGTCTACAGACCGGTCTAAGTTCCCCTGACGCTGCTGTTAACTTAGCAAATATTACCGGTAATGGTGGGCCGTTCGATGAAACCTCCTCACCGGAGGCTGACGGACATCGCTCGAATCGGCAACGTTTTGCACGACGACGCAATCGTAACAGTCGCCATACGGTCGGCGTGAGTCGCGAGGAGTTGGCCGATGCACGTCGGTATATGGAAGATATGCAGCTAATTGAGAATATATCAAACTGTACGACACCGGAAAGTGGCACGACGGCAAATCCGACTACACCGCCACAATGGTTCCCTGTTGAAAAGAATCCTTCGTCCGGCGCTATACTTAGCAGCAACTCCTCTTCGACACTTTATCGCCCGAATCAGTTTGTACCCACACAACTTGAAGCCACTAAAGCGTTTGTGAATGGTGGCGATACGCAAATAATACACAGAGAAAAGGAAGGCCAGAAAAGCAAACGGCCCACTTCGGGTAATTTTTCTGTTAGTTTTCAGCCAAACACAAATGATGAACAATCCTATGTGGATGCTAGTCAAGTTCAACCAGCGGATTATCATATGAACGGTAATGTTTCGCCCGACTCTAGCTATAAGTCGAATCGTTTCACAAATAAGAAACAACTTATGAAACGCGCGAACACCATCGACATACCAAAGTCTAAGAAATATAATCCCGACTTTGACACCGACTCAGAGCAGGAGGACAAAGCGCCACAATTGGGCTTGAAACGTGCGCTCCAAGTTAATGTCAAACATAAGATACGCAGCGTTATACCGCCGTTCGTGCCGAAAACCGAAAATGATCATAAATTTTTGGCGTTCATAAACAAACAAAGCACCAAGCCTGGTCTCGGTTGGACGGGTTCACGCTCCGTTTCGAATTGGACCAACAAATTCGGAAATATAAAACACACCTTCGAAGTGGGCGCCGCTGCCCAGGTTACAACGGGCAAACCGCCACAAGCCCCGGGCCATGTGCCACACAATGCGGCCAAGAACTATTGGCAGAAGCAAGTGGCGACTCAGGACCACCAACAACAACAATATTTACAATACCAACAGCAGCAGCAACAACTACAACAGCAACAGGTACGCCAGCAACAGCAAGAACAGCAACAATTGCTGCGTAGCCAACAAGAAGCGAACGATCGTCAGCGTCGTATGGCGGAGAGAGAGCGACTCGAACGCGAGCGCATCGAGCTCGACCGCCTTGAGCGCCAACGCTTGGAGCGCGAACGTCAGGAACGTGATCGACTCGAGCGTGAATACTACGAAAGAGAGATTATGGAGCGCGAGCGCTTAGCAGCGGCACAACATGCCGCCATGCCCAGCATGACGGTGCCAAAACCCGCGCCGGTAAATAAATTTCAACATGCGCCCCAATCGGTATTCCGTCCTATTGACAATAATGAGACACATAATCATAATATTTTCAAGCCCATACCACAACTGCCACAGAAGGTAAATACCTGGCAGCCACCGTCCATTAGCAACAAACCCCTTTCAGCACCCGTGCAATTAACACCTGTTTCACCTCAATTCCTGACTACAAAGCAATCAGTGAATGGTGCGCAGGTGACATCACCTTCATCAACCGCTTCATCGCCCATAGGTTTGCCGTGGGTCGCCAAGCCCGCTGTGGACAATAGTGATTTCAGAAAGAAAGCGCATACTTTTGAGGAACGTTCCCAAAATGATAATCGTCAAAATTCATATTTGCAGAGGCATCATTCGTTGCGTTCCCCGAAGAATAGTCAACCGCAAATGGAAGAATATAGGAAACGGCCGTCGTTGCCGAGCACCGCTGATCCCTACATGGCATCGCAAAGTCAATATGTACCACAACAACAGCTCCCAGCCAAACCGCAAACACAACAATTTTACGCGTCAACCACGGACGTACATGTGATGGCGCCACCACCGCCCACAAATATCTCCTTTACCTATGCAGACTTGGCTCGCAACAACAACTACAAAAGCTATCCATGCCTGCCATCGGCGATTGAAACGTCAATTACTGCGGATTATGTGCGACAACGTGAGAGCTCATTGACCGACCCGAATGCAACACCACTCGTACTAACCAGCTCGAATCCTACTTATGAACCGTTGACAGATAACCGGGTGCACCACAATCATGCACCACCGCTAAGGCAGTTTGATTATGCAAGTCCGATGGATAGTGCGCCCACAAGCCCCAGCTGTTTGACAATGCACCAAACTGATTACACCGACGATGACTTGGATTCGGACAATCTCATGGAATACCGTGCGGAGACTAGGGTCATGGCTAAGCCGCAAAGTCAAACCGCCGTTACCGTACGTGACCGACGCACAGCACATGCGAGTGACGATGAAGTGTTCGGCAAGAACTCACGAAATGCTCAGAGCTTATTGCACACAATGAGAAATATAGGCAAAAATGGTAACGGCGTGGCAAAGGTTAAGAAGGAGCCAGTGCGAAAGGTGGAATCACCAAAAGTTTGCTTATCTCCTGATGGGCGAGCTTATCAAGCACCAATTGTTGAACCTTTGTTCCCGGAAATAACCAATTTCGAACCTAATCGTACTCCAGAGTACCTTGCAGACACAAAACTTAAAGCCCAAACGCAAAGCAGACAAAAGAAGTCGAGACCAAAGACACCACCAATGCCCAGTCAGCAAATGGACCGAAGTCTACAGTTGGCGCGTGCTGAGGAGAAATATCGGGCTGAACAACAGAAATACTTGGAAAGTAGCAAAAACTCGAAAGTGAGTAAAGCACAACCCAAACAGCAGCAGCATCCCCAACAACCGCCAAAAGCACAGTATCAGTCAGCTAGTGTATCTCAAACATCCTTATCCAATTTGCAGCCTTACGTAAGTGAAACACAAACTGCTTACGTGGTCACTTATCCCACGGAAGATATTCACGAGAACAATGTCTACGGTAAACAGCACCCCACGTCGTTACCGTTACAACGTATCCGAAATATGTCGGAAAATTCTTCTGCTAGCTCATCAATATCACACAACTTACCTTCGCCCGGCACCAATTGGACGCCGAACCCTATTCATGCTGTGGATGAGATAATACCGCATAAACAATCCAAGCAAACACCCCAACCAACTATAGACCCCAACAGCATACCGAAGAGTGCATACCAATCTCAAACGTATGCGCCATCACCCGCGCAAACAACGTCCTACGAGGGTGTAGGCAGCGCCCCACAAACTAAGCCAAATGTAACCCCCAAACCTGCCGCACCAAACACGCAATACACACCGCTGCAACAGTCTCAGCCAACACAATTCGTTAAACTGCCCAACCAAAAGCCTCCTTCTCAGCAGCAGCCACCAGTTCAAGCAAAACCTCAACAACCGCCACTACAACCACTAGCACAACCGCTGTCGCAAACGAATGCCGTAGCGCCTAGGCTGACAACACGTAGTCAGAAATTATCGATGACATCTCAGCAACATCAATCCTTTGAGCAACACTACCAGCCACCGGTATTACCCAGACAACGCACCTTTGACTCGCCAACGACGCCTCTACAAGCGCAGAATCGCGTACTGTCGCAACAGTCGCTGGTCTCTAGTAAACAGCGCCAATTTGAGCAGCATCAACAGCCAGAACAACAACTGTTGAGTGAGAGTCGTCGCAAGAGTCTTGGCAATGTGTATGACGTGCAGCAACAGCAAAGGAAGGCCGCTTACATGTCCGATACGAAGACCGTAGTCAAACAGGAATACAAGTCTTCGGCACCACCGGATACGCCAGATATCGTTAAGTCCTCACTACCCAAAGAGGATATGCCGATATTAAAGAAGTTCGGGCCACCACAGCGCCATCACTACATACCGAATTCATATCAGAGTCCCACGACAAACACACAAACCCAAAAATTCGAAAGCAGTAGCAGCAGCAGCAGCACTAAAGTTATCAAGAACACGCAACACCAAATAGTCCAGCATTCGACGTTGACTAAAAAGCCGTCGATTGTTGAGATACCCGCCACACCACAGCCCGACGAAGATCTCATACCGCGTAATATTGTTTTCAATAATATCAGCGCCTTTACTTCACTGTCGCGTCGACACGAAGAAAGTGATCATGCACACGCTGAGTCCCAACCACGAACGGCTAATCGTTTGAGTAAAAGCGATTCATGGAACCAAATTGTACAAATGCAAAACCAAGCGAATGCACAATTACCGCCAACTTCGCCGAAGCTCGGCACTAACGGTGGTGGTAGTGGTAGCGAGTTGCGTCGCACCAAGTCCGGCCACACATTGAATGTGCGCATGTATGAGGCGGGCATTGACAAATCACAGGTCGGGGAAAAACAGCGCACCGTTGAGGCGTACTTCACCGGAAAGAAATCACCCAATCAAATCGGTAGCGGAGAAACGGTGGAGTTGAGATCGGCGGTAGCAACGGCGATGACGACAACAACTGCGGGTGCAAAAAAATCCACGATTAACCGACATAAGACTAGCGAGAAGATTTCAGCGAGTCGCAAATCGCTGACAACAATGACGAGTAATGGCTTGCCAGCAGGTGCAGCCACAGCAGCGGCAACTGTGTTAGGCGGTGGGTTGACACGAAGCGCAACAATGCCGCATATAGCAAGTTTAAATCTGCTCGACGAGAGCAACGTTGAAGACGCGTTCGAGCAGCTGATGATGGGCTCGTAGAACGCAAGGCACGCAAGCTGAGCTGGGGTCACACACGTGCCAAGCATTCCAAGTTTTTTTTTTTTGTTAAAGAATATCAAGTCAAACGAAAGCAAAAAATAAAACCACATCATGGCAAAGACAAAGATTTTTGCTATTGTCATACATACAAACATATAAAGCCATCATTTACTGCCGAGTACTATGTGATACTCGTATGTCAAACGTTGCTCCACGTCAACATCATTCTTGGCTCGTGACCCCTTCCCACTTTTCTATTTCACGCTCCTTTTGTCATAACCAAACCGCAACTTACGGTAACTGAGACTGCTTTTTGCCAACACGTACTCGTACAAAATGGACGTGTGAAGGAAGACGGCAGAGGAGGGACTACAAATGGTTTTATTATTACAATTATTATGCCGATTTTTAACATAACTACAATACATATATACATACATGCATACCTACATAAAAGCTAACATAGAAAGTCAAACTTGCCAGCGCAAAGAATAAAGACCATAGCACACGATTCGAAACATACATTATTACAAACTCTACGACATAAGTCGTTGGGTTTTTGGCTTATGAGAGTACATATGCAGAGGAAGCAGAAGTGAGTAGTGGTCCCCAACAGAGCATCCTTGGACTGCACACTACCTTTTCGGGGCAAGACAACTTGTTGTAAGCAACCCAACAGCTTCTTTCTACAAACTTTAGATTAACGGGATTCAGCCGAGAACGAAATCATTCAAATAACCAGAGACGCCGATCAGCAACTCGTAACTTATCCAACGAACCACTGTGCATTTGAATTTTCTGCATCAAACATATATTTCTACTCTATACAGCGTGAGTTCATCTGCGTTATTTCATTTGCCACGCTTTTCTGTTCGAATTCCCCAGTAAACAACTCATAAAGTGCTTGGCCAGTGCGTTGTACCGAAAGAAAAACTAACATTTCTCCTATTTTGTTCAACTATTAACGTCACAGAGTTGGCCCCAGCTCCTCGCCTAGTTTCACACATAGCCCACCACAGCCCACAGCTTAGAGGCACACAACTTTACAGCCCGCCACTCCGCCACTCCGCCACTCCGCCTCTCTGCCTAATACAGCCCAGCTCATTCGCCACTCACACGCTCGTTTTGTTAGTTTCCATTTGCTGACTCGCTCGTTCGCTAGTTTTGTTTATTTTTCCAATCGTTCCTTCGTATTGACTACCGCTTGAGTGAAAATTCTAACAAATTATAATATAATAATGATGATTAATTGGAAATCAGCAATAAATGTCGTGAAGTCAGCGCAATCGCAGCTACTAATTTTGAATCATCTTTGTTCTTATTGTAATAATAGTTCAACTATGTTGTCCCTCCTCTGTAAATACACATTAAACATACATACACAAATACATGTACATATGCAGACCGTGTGACTATTATGCCAAAAGACTATACTTATGTATATACATACATTTGTACGAAATTTTGATTTTAAAAACAAAAACAGTTTTCAAAAGGTGTATATTTTTTGTTTGAAAACCTGACCGACAAACTGCTTGGATCGCATGCTTTGGCTTTTTGACAATAAACACCGGTTCCCTGGTTCTCTGTTATTCAATCGTTCTTCGTTATTACCGTAGGTTTTTACTCGTTGCTCGTTACTCGCTGCTTATTGATTGCTTGACTTTATTTTGACAGCTGGCTTATTTTATATATACTCGTTCCCATACACATGTACACACATATTTATTTACTGTTCTGAATAAAAAAAATTTTAATCAGTTACCTCTGTTCATCGTTCTTTTTTATTGCATGCGACTTTTTTTTGCTTTATTTCTATTTCATGTTTGAATCGTTGAAAATGCACATACATAAATATGTACATATGGAATTTTTCGAAATCCATCAATTGGTTTTTGATATTTTTATGAGAAATAACTAAAATAAATTTAACTTATTGTTTTAATACGAAGGAGCCAAGTCACTTCATGAACTTTATGGCAAGAGAACAGTTTCAACAGTTTTCGCGAATTTGTATCCCTAAAAAGAGCTAAAAGCAGCCTTAAAAAAACTAAAACTGTAAAGCCGTTGTTGTTTTTGTTTTATTCGCTTTCTACAAAAAAAATACACACATACACATACATATATTTGTGTAGGTAACAAAATAGATTTTTTTTCTTTCAAAAAAGAAAATGTAAGCTGATTTGTAGTATCTTACCATTGCATATAAGGAAACAACGTTTTTGAAAATAAATTGCACCTTTTCCCTAATACTTTGTATTTGAAAATGGATAAACGAAAAATATCACAATTTTCCTCACATTTTGACACGATACCTTGAGATGCTAGTTTAACAATTATTTTTATATATGTAATATATATATATATATGTAATATAAATGGCTTTACTTGTTTGGCTGTGAGAATTGTCATACCTGGAAAAAACTATAGCTCGGTCGGGATTCAGTTTGGTTTAAATGCAACGCTGTAGTCACGTAACCTGGGGAAGGAGGTGACAACAGGACTACGAAGTTTACCTCAGATTAAGCAAATATACATTTTAAGTTAATAGGCTGTACTTAATAAAAGTGGGAGGAGGTGGGGGTATTTAATGTAAAACTCGTCAGAGAAAGCAGGCACATCTACATGCATAGCTCGCATTGATCCAGGGGCTTAAGAGTGTGCAGTCATATTCCTAAATATATATTTCTAAATCGTAATATTTATATGTGACGTCACTTCAAATTTTTCTTTCAATTTTATATATTTGGTTTAATTATTTCAAAGCCATTTTTTTATTTTACAATATAAGAGGCTAAAGAATAAACCAAAAAAAAATTACCGACACTCATATATCTTAATAAATTAAGAAACAGATTTTTGAAATTTTTACTTTTATAAATGATTTTAAAATAATTTATTTTAACATTAGATAACATTAAATTTAAAACTTCAATTTTAATTTAAGACTTAATTTTGATTAAAAAAAAATATTGATTAAAAATACATTGAATTAAAAAATTAACCTAACCTAGAAAAATAATAACTAAAAATACCACTTAATTTATTTTTATTATTAAATTCTGAATTCATGTAATTTCAACTGGTTATTGAAAGCATGATTTATTTTTTGTCATACAATGTGTACATATATAAATATTAGCGCCGATGAGTTTTTCGTTCACTTTTTTTATGTTTGTAAGTCCCTTTTGAAGTATTGTTCTCTGTATATAGTAAATTGTGTTGTCCCCTTCAGGTGTGTCCGTCTCTGTGCTAAAGGTAAAAAACTAACAAATTTTTTTGTTTAGAAATTAAGAAATTTTCGATTGTGAGTTTATTGTACAAAAGTAGTAAAAACAGCGTTCCTTTTATTTTAAATGAGAATTACTAAAAAAAAGTATTGAAAATAAATAATGGGATTCACATGTGAAAACAATTATGACACTTAAAATATTAAAATCCAAAAAAGTGAAGTTTGAACTAATACATACATAGATACAAGTGATATGTTTCTGTATTAAATTAAGTATAAATGAAAAATATACAAAAATAAAATAAATACAGGATACATTTTTTATATTTTTTATATATAAATAAAAATACATATGTATATAAGAGTAATTTATAATATACATATAGTGTTTATAACTAACTTTTATATTGTCAAAAAAATAAATAATTAATTTTTATATGTGAATCTAATTATTTAAAATAAAACGTCAAAATAATTTTGTGTTTACAGTTTTTATGTTGAATTTGTTTAAACCAATTTTATTTATAAAAAATATTTAACTAACGCATGCCATATTTATATTTTTATTCTCTTTTTTCCGTATTTGTGCTTTATACAATTGCGCTTTGCATATGCTTCAAAACAACACAACGCAAAACCAAACCAAACCAAAAAAAAAAAAAAAAAAAAACACACACCAACAAAACATCAACAAATTTAATTTCTTCAAATATCCACCTAACAGAGCAACAAGCCGCTACATCGACCACTGAGAAAACGGAAACCAAGGAAAAAGATGGCGCCGTTGTGACTACAACAACGAAAGGTAATTAAATAAGTTTATCATATATACAATTATTTTTAATTTCTAATTTATAGTTACAACACGCACTGTAACCGGCGCTGGCGGCACTGCAGCCAAGCCAGTTTCACCGTTTGCGAAATTCCGTCAGTTGGACAAACAAAGCTCACAGCAATCTCCAAAGTAAGTAAAGAAAATAATTTATTTTTTACAAAAATCGAACACTTCTATTTATCTATATGTACATTTACATACATTTATACATACATACACACATACATACATACATTTGAATAAGAAAACCGAAAACTCCGGTGGTAGTAAGCACATTTTAAATATCAGTTTGAAGAGACTCTTCGGCTACTGCTGCCGTAGCTAAAACAACAAATTTATTAATTTCATTAATTAGATGTAAGGTGAAGGTCTTAAGCACTCTCTAGTTAGTTTATCTGGGAAATAATACATACTTACATAAATAAAAATGTTATAACTACAAATAGCTTTAAATAACCGAAAGAAATTTATTTTCCACAAATGTGATTAAACTCATACTAAGTTTCTGATATAAAGGGTGTTTTTTAGACATGTGATTTTCAATAAAGAATGAAAAGCAAATAATTTTATGCTATGACTAAGAATTTAGCTTTTTTATATATATAAGGGTTTGCTATGATTCAAAAATGTTTTCGGGCAAGTCACTGCCGTGTATGGCTCGAAAAAACTCCAGCCGAGGCGCAAATTTCCGGCCACTTTCTGCAGCAATTGGGGCCGTATGTCAGCAATATTGTCTTTCGAGGCGGCAATCATCTCCGACTTATCTTTCTCGACAAGCGACCGTACATATAGAAATATGGACCACTGGCCAAACAGTGACTTTTTGAGGATGTAAATGTAAAGGGCGTTTTATCGCTAAACAAAATTTCCTTGTGAAAGTTGGTATGAGCGGCAATTTCGTTCAATTCTCGAATCAGGACGTGCTCATTCAGATCTTCTACGATACGCTGTTACACAGCAGAAATTGCGCCTTCGGTGTGCACTGTACGGCGTCTCTGAGGATGTGTATTGTCCACTAGAGTGAACGTAATGTGAAACCGTTGCACAGTTCCTCTAATTACCGACTCTGCTGGGCGATTATATCGACCGTATATTGGACGCAGCGCGTGAAGCACAAAGATTGTTCCGAAGTAAGTCTGTTCATTATGAAACGAACTGAGTATAAATCAAATAACAACTATCAAAATTGCCTCACTGAAAACCACATGTCTAAATAAAAAAACACCCTTTACAACTTATGAACGCATGTAAGGTGTTGGTATTTATTATAAGTCGGCCATTTTCTCTCAATATTAATATAACCGTAAATATTTAGGTTTAACTTTAAGGTGAAACACGAACCAATAACGCCGAATATATCCACTCTGACAGTTTTCGTAGTTAAAATGGTTAAATTTGTGCACAAAATTCAATAAAAAAATGAACTTAAAAAAGTTCGAAAAGAGTTTGATTTAACTTCCAGACTCCACTTCTTTACTGAACACACTTCTTCCTCTTTGCTCGCAAAAAGCTCAAACACTTTTACAAATTAATTTCCAATTACAGTAGTCTTTTATACTATGTTTGAGTACTCAAAACTAACTGTATGTACATACATATATGGAGGAAATAAACAAATTAAAAATAAATTGAAAAATTCTATTAATAAAAACAGATCGTGCCAATTAGCATAGTACTAATTTAGTCAAAACGAAAAAATTATAATGTTACCTAAAATCGATAACAACCCTTTGTTCAGATCACCGTCAACACCCACCACTCCCGGGGGCACCGCAGCCTCACCTTCCGGTTCCGCACGTATATTCCAATTCACAGATCCGGCATTAAATGCGCGAGCGGCCACTGTTAAGGAACAGCTGCTGCAGTGGTGTCAATCGAAAACACAGGAATATGAGGTATCTCGATAATGCTAAAAACACACAAGAAAATGAAGAAAAATAATAATTAAAGAATTTAAATATTAATAAAGACTTAATTAAAACTTTGCTATTCTCAAAAAAGAAAAAACTAAAAAAACGAAGTGCAGCAAAAGATGTTTCTCGCTAACTGCTCTAGTTCTACTACACCCTATAAAAAGCAACGCTGCCGGCAAAGCCAATTCATGAAAAAATATTTATAAGAAAACTTAAAAAAAAAATGCTAACAAATGCTTCGAACTGTAAAAAAAAAAACAATATTTATGCGCTGCTTCTGGCAACTAAACGTAAACTTTAATTTTAATTTTAGTTTAAAAAGAATAATAAATTAATAAACTAATAAGCTGAATTTGTAAAAAAAATACTTGTACCATAACTGTAAATAAATATCTTTGTAAGTATCTATTTATTATTTTCCATATTAATGCGCAGTTTCCATTTTCGTGAGTTAAATAATATCCATTTTGCGTTTTCGAAAATAAACGTAAATAAAATGCATTTACAGTTAATATTTTTCATGAAATTTATTTGAAGTTTGAACCGACCTTGGCATTCTAGGTGAAACACTAAATCATTCAAATGACCGCTTCGCGAATTTTTGAAAACCTCAATCCGTTTGGGATTATTTTCAATTACGGGAAATTTCTCTCGCTATAAAGCCATATTCGTTCCTGTTGTGTGGCGAGAAGCAAGTCGTGTTATTCAATTGCAGGTCAAAAAGGTGGTTGTCATACGCCCATAAAACTTCGAATTGACAGTCATCGTCCGGCTGTTGTCGTTTTCGATGAAGTAAGGTAGTAAAGACAAAATAGCAAGCCAGACAATAAATTACTTTGGTGTAATGGGCTCCCTTCAATTATTTGAGGTGGCTGGGAGCCCCAGATATGGCATTTTTTCTTATTAACGTATGCCCCGAGTGCCCGACGAGGCGCATCGTCAATGATCAAAGTTTTGTTTGAAAAATCGCCGACCACGGCTTGTTTTTCAAGCACCCAATCGACGTATGTACGGCGTTGTGAATGGTCACTTGGCTGCAGTTGTTGTGTGAGCTGGACTTTACATGGATGTAAGTGTAAGTCCAAGTGCAAAATTCGCCATGATGTGCAGTAAGAAAGTCCAAGCTCTTGAGAACGTCGAGAAATAGACAAACTCGGATCTTTGCCTACACTTTCACAAGCCTAGGCGAAACTTTTGGTGGAACGAACGAAACGATGATGCACAGGCCTTACAATATTTAAACCAATGCCAAGTAATTAGTAAAGCTTTGATTAAATTTAAGGTCACTAAATTGCGGTCGACCCTCAGCAAGGAATGTCAACCCCTTCGAGTGTATTTCTGACATGAAATAAAGCTCCTCATAAAAAACCATCAGCCGTTCGGAGGCGGCTTAGTATAAACTGTAGGTCCCTCCATTTGTTGGAAAAACATCAAGACACCAGAAGGAGCTCGGTCGAAAATCGCTTAAAGCGGTTACAAAGCGCCAATAATAAGCATATATATAAATTTATTCAAAGCTTTACTAATAACCTGAGTAGTTGCACGATTTTGTGCACCATAATCCCATCTTAAAGCACAAGCCTGACTTTTTACTACAACAAAACATATTTGGTTTGACAGTTAAGTTAACCACGAAATGGATAACCCTATGCAAATTCAATTCTAGCACGACAATATTGGAAATATTTTACTAACGCTTTACAATTATTCAATAAAATTTTGTACAAAATATTAAATACTAATTTCTAAGCTAATTTTAATTTTACGCTTTTATATTATGATTTATAAATATGTTATATTGTTTTCCAAACTTATTTCTTCTTCTTATTACTACGATATTTGCTTTGTAATTTTGTATAGATATTATTTTATTGAGTGTTTTAATGCTTTTAATTTCCATAATATTATCTATAGACATATATATTTTGCTTTACCTTTTGTTTAGATTTACTTTTTATGTTTCATTATGCTTTTTTCATAAAATTATATTATTATGATTTGTTTGTTGTTATTTATTCGTCTGAATGCTGTTACTTGGCTTTTGGCTTAACTGTTTCTATTTGCGCTTTCATATTGAAAAATATCCAATTTTATTTACAGAACGTCCAAATAAGCAACTTTAGTGCCAGCTGGTCAGATGGCTTAGCATTTTGTGCTCTAATACATCACTTCTTGCCCGATGCCTTCGATTATACTCAATTAACACCCAAAAACCGAAGACAGAATTTTGAATTAGCTTTCACCGTGGCCGAGTAAGTAAAAGCAAAATACTTTTTTTTTAATTACTTTCTAACTTTTAGTGAAATAATTGGAAAATTTTAATTCTACCATCCATAGTGCCCATTGTTTTATATTTTTCACGAGTAGCTGGTGATAGTTGCCCCAGAATTAAGAAACAAGTCGGCTCAAATATTAGGTGTACGAACTATATCGGTTTCGTTTGCGTTTAAAAAACCTTTTTTTTTCTAAAAGCGACTACTTTTTCCTTATCGCTGGTAGTTTTCGAATACTGCCTCGGTGCTCAATCCAAAAAGTGAGCCCTTCTTCAAAAAATCCGACCCGGTGACTCACCAAATCCAAAGCCAGTAGTTACAGGGAGCAAGGTCTGGAGAATATGGCGAGTAGGGTATGACTATTAATTTCAGCGTTTCCAGGTAGTTTTTGACCATTAAAGCCAAGTGAGACCAAGCGCTGTCATTTTGCAAAATCACCTTGTCATGCCTTTCTGTCGATTCTGGCCATTCTCGCGCACTGCACGGCCCAAATGAATGAGTTATGGTATGGAGTATTGGATAACGTTTCGTATTATGATCCTCATTTCAAACTTATTGACCGCAAACTGCCAATTGATCGGGTTCCTAGAGGGATTGCATTACCCGATAACTTATTGACAGCAAAATAATATTATAATTGATTCACGGAGTATTTCTAAATATCCAATTCAACTCTGGGCGGCTGAGTAAGTGATCTATACTCGCTGCAACAAGCTGAGATGTCTATGATCTCAACAACAGTATTCAGGCCAACATTAAAAGCGAATGCGTCACATGTCAGCAAACGACACCGTTGTGGTAGCCGATGAGGCAGTCGATTATCCAACAGATTCAGTGATAACCGAAAAAAATTACACGACTGTTAAATTTTTCTTGAAAATGTATGATTTTCCATAAATTTCATTGTGGTTGAAAAGAAGAAATTTATATGTATTTAAAGAATATGAAAGCATACATACTTGCATATGTACATACAAAAATTTAATCAATTTCATTTTCTGCTTACAGTGAGAAAGCTGGCATAGCGCCACTACTTGATGTCGAGGATATGGTAGAGATGAAACGACCTGATTGGAAATGTGTTTTCATCTATGTGCAAAGCATCTACCGTCGCTTTCGTAATTGCCAATAAAATAGGAATCAAAAACCAAATGCAATAACACCTACGACATACACAACCAACCACACATAACCACTGCGGTCACTATTACTACATATATATATACATATGCTATATACACTTACATATAGAATACTGATATACATAATATATAACTGTTTACTAATCCACATTTGCCATGAAACAAATTTGATGAAGAAAAAAAGAAGCACAAGAATGAGTGGGGACTAAAAGAGTTGAACCAAAATAATCCTCGAAACTTGAAATATTTTAAATAATTCTTCTTGAACATATGATTATTGGGAAAAAATGTATTTGTGATTTGCGCCATTCTTGCAGAGCAAACATGTATATAATCCTTCGTGTTATGGTCAATTAAAGTTTTAAATTGTTTTTAAATAAACTGAATTTGACAATTAATTAATAGATTAAATTTTTGTGAAAAATTTACGCATACATAAATACATATGTTTGTGGGCGTAGGCTTTGTTAGAAAAACGGATTGATATTTCTCAAGAATTTATGCGCTTCGGTGCAAAAGAAAACGATTTCAATTAAACTATCGTTGTTGTTGGTGCATACAAACCTAAAATTGTTATGAAACTACTTTTTGTTTGCTTTTATATTTGTAAAATATAAGACAGACAGCGAAAATATAAGGATATTATTGATGATACATAAATACCACAATACATACATATATATTCAAACAATCACTCACCTACATATAAATGAAATAAAAAAAAAATATAAAAAAAAGTTATGTATAGTTGTAAAATTTATGAAAAATCTATACAAACAGACATACATACGTTTCGATTTAATACAATACATGTGAAATCACGCCTTTATACTAACATAATGTTAAATACAAATAAATATACACACGTTTAAATTAAAGAGAAAAAAAATTAAATACGAAATTTTTTCATTAGCTCGCGGCTGCAGCTGCAGGCATAAATCCATTACTACATACATTTACTCGTCCATATATGTATTTATATTTGTATATGCATAACAAATACACTCACTAACATAATAATAAATAAATAAAAATCCTTTGTGTAACTACAATTATTATGTATTCAAATTATATATAAAGTGATTAACCTCTCGATTAATTTTATTCGAACAATTCAAATTTTTTGTATATTTCGCAGCTGGATTATGTAAAATTTCCGTATGATATTAAACTTAAAGAATATGTATTTATGATAATTTCATTTTACGATTTTTTATATCTTTTCAATTTAAAAAAAAAATTTGTTTTTGTTTGTACTGCTACTAATTGTTGTTACGAAAATATAGAAATTAACATTTTCAAGCTACAACAAAAATCAGCTCTTTTGTTTGAGAAAAAGATTTTAGAAAAATATACCCGATTTTAGACGTTTGGGTTTCAATGAGGCAAAACTTTTTCCGGCGTTGATTCTTTTGACAGATGTTGCTTGATTTATACTCATTTCGGTTTGCTGTTTTGTAATGAACATCATGGTACAATAATAGTTTTGTTCGACGATCAGTGGGGCAGTAACAGTTTTCACCAAACTTTACTGGGTCGTGTTCGTTGAGCCGAAAACTAAGTAAAAATGGGCAACGAAAGAGCGCAATCTTGACGTTTAGTTGGAGAGAAAGTTGCAATGAAAACCAGCTGATTATGATCATATAATTGAATTTTTGTTCACAAAATAAAATTGATTTAAAATTAAAATAGTTTTAAAGCTTTAATATGAATGATAGCCAACAAAATAAGTGTTTAAATGTAATGTTGTTTCATTTAACTAAACAATATCAATGATTCCAACAATAGTAAAGACCCTCGTTAAACGAAAATGTGGTAGCAGTGGAGGGGATTCACCGTCCGCACGCCACCCAGCCTGCGTTGTTGTGCGTTTTTTGTACAGCCCAAGTTGATTTTGAACGCAAAGCAGGGTTGTTGCGACGATCACAGTGACGATAATGGATTCTTAAGCTTCCGGAAGCGACTACGATGCACAAAATGAAATATTAGTAGCATTTAGAAAGAAAAATAAAGCTCCGGCTTGGTTTTTATTTAGCAAGAATCCAATAAATTATATTATAATGTTCAGTTGATATGGCCGGCTTACACGCGAAAAGAATTTCAAACTCGTTTTCGTATTTCAGTCATTCCCACAAAAAATCTAAGCGATAAATTGTTGCAAAGCAAGTTTTTTATAAATCACAAAATCCAACTCGTGCAAGAGTTGAAGCCGAATGATCATCAAGCGCGTTGCACTTTCGGTGCATGGGCCCAAAACGAGATAGACACCGATCCCGATATTCATTCACAAGAAAATTTTGTTCAGTGATGAAAAGCACTCTACGTGAATGGGTACGTTAATAAACAGAATTATCGCATTTGGAGATATTATAACCCAATAGTTAATCTCAAAAAGTCACTGTCTGGTATGCTCCATTGGTAAAGAGTATCAATTATTGGTCCATATTTCTTTGAAACATAGTGCGGCCATAATATTAGGGTCAATAGTCAACGCTGTAGAGTCATGGTGAATGACATTTTCATGCCAAATTTTGGAGGAAGTTGATGTGGACAAAATAATCAATTTGTTGAAGAAAAGTCTTGGTGAGTACATTATCTCGAGTCGGGAGCTGTGGCTTGATCTCCAAGATCGTGCGACTTAACATTCGCATGGCTACACAGATAAGCTCGAGGTGTTTGACTCCTTGGAAGAGAATATTCGACGTTTACTGACATACGCTGTGAAAAGTGGTCGAAAATTAGACTGTTAGAATTTTTTCGAGCCAACCGCGGCGGTTGCTTACTCGAAATCATTTTTAAAACATAATATTTGGCTTTATAATGAAACATTAAATTAATCAACTAGAAAACCACATGTTTAAAAAAGAAAAACAGTAGTAAATATTTGAAGAGTTAGAAAGCATGTTGGTTTCTATATTAACTTTTGCCATAAAATTTTTAAAGGAATTCGTGGCTTTTAAATATCCTAAAGTATCTAAGAGTGTAGATGTATAAAATTTATTTTGTTAGTGAGTTTATCGATTCTACTTTTTGATTGGCGTAAACACCGCTTGCTAGATTATAGCAGAGCCAAACAAGCCAACAATAGCGCGTCAGTCCTGCGCCGGTCAGCGCCAGTCTGAGCCTCTAAGTGAAGTGAGCTCCTTCTTCCTCTGATCTCTCCTCGGGGTGGAGCTCTTCATTTTCTTCTGTATCTGCATCGAAAACTTTCTAGGCTGGTGTTTTTTTTAATTAATTTTCATTTATCCGTACGACATTACATAGCCTCTCTCAATTCACTGAACTAAGTCAATGTCGTCTATTTTTACAGCTCAACGTTTCGCCGTAGCTTTTTCACTGCTCTATTTTACGGTTATACTCAAAGACCAATAGATCGAACCTTCCCTGTAGCTCGAGTCCTCGGGGCGCATGCTAATCTTGAACACTAGAGAGAACAAAATGCCGATAGGTTGCAATTTTTTTAATCCGAAGACAGGTAGGTAGTTTGATAAATTATATTGTGCTGCAACCAAATACTACATACAACCATACTTCGGGCACCGGCAAAATCTAACAGATACAACCCCTTTGGAAATATCTTGTGATGGACGTTGAATTATCTGAGAGTTGTGCCACATATACCTTCTCTGTCCGCCCTTGCTTTAAAGCTGCCGAGTACATTTGTGACATTGTGGCGAAGGCAGCGCCATCTGCAAATCAGCGAAGCGTTAAGAACTTGCATAGCCTTTAAGCGTGAAGATTGAAAGCAGCTCAAATCAAAACCGAGTAAGAAAGTCTTGCATGGAAAAAGCATTTTGATCGAATTTCTCCAAAAAATATATTGTAGAACATTTATTTCTGCTGTTATTATAATACCCTTTCCTGCGGCTGGCATCATTTAACGAATCTTTCTTCAAAAGGCCTACTACATACGATCCAGTGTCATTATAAAGGTTTTCTTTAATTTTGAAGCTCAAAGCATTTTTGCTTCACTTTTCAAAATAAAGGAAAAAATTTCAAAAATTTTTGGTATGAATATCACAATAAACGCTTACGAAATTTTCAGTTGATCGAAACGTGAAGTTTTTGAAAGCCTCAAGCTGCAGCAGCCAGCGCCAACAAATACTTCGTCCGTTCCATCCGATGTGACTTCTCCAACACCTGTGACAGTTTCGGTAACAGCAGCCCCACCACCACCACCACCTCCACCCCTTCCACTGACGGCATTCCTGCCCAGGGCACGAACAACACCATTCAGCGTGCTATCATCGCTACCATCAACATCAGCAGCACGTCCACCTTTTCGCTTAAGAACGAACGGCATGCAAGGTCTTTCGGAGGCGACGGCCTTACGCTTATTCAACAGTGTGGTCACAACGAGTCAGTTGGCAGGCCCGGCGGCGGCAGCAACTGCACACAATACTACCTCCCTAACGTCGGTGAATGATGTGGACGAATGCAAATCGCTAGGAGCCATACAGTCGTCGAATGAATTCGGCAATGCTTGCCGCATTTGCCGTTGCAATCGAAGTGATATACAGTTAACGCGTTGTCCGTGCCAATGCCGCGGCAGTGTGGTAAGTGCTCTGTCAGGTATCCGGTCTTATACTTCTCTGGCACTGTGGACGTGTGTTTTTTAGGGTTTCGTTCATATGCCGTGCTTGAAACGTTGGATTTTGCATCGGCGTGATACGCGGTGTGAAATATGCAACACGTGGTTTGATATGCCGGATGAGAAGTTGAACTTGCGGCGCATGCTGAACGCCTTGTTTTGTGCACGCTGCGGTGGTGCCATTATGAAGCATTTGCTCTTCAGCGTGTCTCTACTGCCGTTGGCTCATGTGGTGTTGCAGCAAGTGCTCATTTGCATGGACAACATCAATGCGAGTCCGAATGAGCACTTAACCGTGCAGGAAGTGATGGTGGCGTCGTGCGCGCTATTGACATCAAGTAATTAATTAATAATAGTTATATTAATTTATTGAGTATTCATATTTAATATTTATTATTAATTGTTCTCTTTTCAAAAACAGGCGCACTTTTCTTCCACTTCTTCGAGTTTATAACAACCCGCTTTCTGATCATTCGAAATATTTTGCATCAGTGGTGGATGTTTGGAAACCAGGAGCACTTCACAGTTATCGAGGTGGACAGTGAATATTTCGACGTTTTGTAAGCTGGGTTGCCACCAAAAAATATACATTAAAAATATTTAGTACTTAAAATCTTGCAGAAGTATTAAAATTAGTCATATTGAGTTTTTTTCTGGCCAAAAAAGTGTTTTATTATGTTATTGAATGTGGAAACTGAAGATTCAATGAGGTCTGTTGAGGTTCAAGTAAACATTAAGAAGCTTTTGCTTGTTCAGTTCCGTTAAATTGTTGTATATTTTCAAGGATAAGCCACAGTAGCATCGGGATAAAAAATTCATCGGTACGCCTATAATTTTTGGCTAACTCTTCCCGCAGCCAAGTCCAAAACTAATTCTAATTCGATGGGAAAGACGTTCCAATAGCCGAGCTTGAGCTAGTTCAAATAGCGATTGCCTGCTTGACCAATAACAAAACGGCATTAACTGTTAGCTTACCCCGCTGAGCTAGATAATATGGCGGTGAAGAACTGGCAAGGGGAATACATCGTTTCTTTGCAGAATATGTTTGGATGAAATCATGTTCAACGATTGGAGCCAAAGGGTACTCTGCCCAATTCAAATAAAGATGGTCTGCTTTAATCGATCGATCATATTGTGAGAAAGATTAAAGTCCATTGTCAACGAACAGATTGGATCTTTCTGCGATTCATCAGATATTCACCATGCGCCACATCTTAGAAAATACCCGCAAAAACGGGATCGACCCACAACCTTTCCTCCGACTCTTAAACCTTCAAAAGCATGAAAACTAATTTCTTTTATGCAACTAAATCTCAGTTTGGTATCTCCGCAAAGCGAGGCGAATGGTTCTGGTAGTTTACTAAGACAAGACAAAATAACTGCTTTCATCAAAAAAACAAAGTTAAGTCTTATCAGGACGAACAAAGACGAAACTCTAAATGCCGCTCATCATTTCCTTCCTTCTATATAGTGCGGTGGCATGGACAATTACAATATCTGATGAATCGCCTAAATTCGGAGATCATGTGGTCTGATCGGATGAGAGCACTTTTAATATTTCTATGCAGTACTCGCTGGAGGGGCGCATAGGTGTAGGACCTACACTCCATTGAAAAGATCGGGTGGAGAACATTGAAAATAAAGAAGGAATGAAATATTGGTAACTCGAATATAATCTAGAAGTAAACGTAACTGCATTGTTCGGTTGTACGCAAACACACTATATCTGCAAGTTTACAATGCAGTTTTCGTAGGGAGAGATCCACATGGTCTTAATGTATATATCTAACTTAACTTTATATTTTGATATATTTGAATTTATTTTCGATAACTTTTGGATGTTGGTGGCATCGGAACTTGAACCCGAGCCTTTCGAATATCGGTACGCAGTGCAACCAGTCGGCTAAAGTTAAGGTTAACCGCCCTTCAGTGTGGCAATTCTTTTCTTATTGGAATCACTGACAAATATCTGGCAGCGCTCTGTTGACGTTTTTGATATACATATAGTGTACCTGCTCTGGCATATAACGAACAACGCATATTAATACAAATCTCCAAAGAAAAGTAAAATCTCACAGTCTTTTGCAAAAGTTTAAGGAAATTACACATATATTTAAAAAGTTGCAAGTTTTTGTGTTATTGTGGTATTTATTGTGTCGATTTGATATTTATATTTAGTTAAAAGCAGATGCATTACACTTAAATGCAACAAACTTATATACACAAACAAGTGCATTTGTACTGAAAAAAAAAGTGTTGGAATTCCTTGAAGGCCAATCACAATTTTGTCAACTTTGTCTTGTAATTGAACTTTGTGGTAATAATGGCTGATTCCATACGTTCACCTTGTACGCCTTCCACGTTATACAAATTAAGCCTTAGAGCATATGTCTCGACACTGGGAAGTAAACCACAAGGGAGGCCTTGGAAACTAGACCATCTGCCGTTGGCGATTATTGCTGATATTAATATAAGGGTAAGGCTTTAATGTGTACGTAGGAAATCAGATGTTTTATATTTATGTAGGGAACTTTTTAACAGATGCTGCTAATTTTTTTAGTTTTTATCACATATAATTGCTTACGGTCTTAAGTTCACATTCTGCTAACCAGTGGAATGAATTGTGGCAAAAAAAAAGCAAAAAGTAAAAGTCCAAGGGCGATATTTCTTTATATCTTGCTCAATAAAATAGTTTAATTGATGATACCACTACAGCAGGTCTACTATGGTCATAAACTGTTGTTTTAGGACGTTAAAATGGAAATAAATCCCTCCAATACAGCTCATATTAATTTATATGAAAAACAAAAAGTCTACACATGCTTGGCATACACGCATACAAACGTTATACATATTTCTGAAGATCAGCTGGTAAATCAAAATAAACATTTATGAAACCTCCATAGGCTGAAAATGCACAATTCTTTTTAAACCATATTCAAACTCGATTTTTTTTCCTTCATAATAGGTTCCCACATGAACCCCCCTGATGTTTGTATACACCGCATATACATACATATCTTGTTCAAAAAAAGGGCTAAAGTTTGATTTGATAAAATTTCTTATTCCAAACCCGTCAATTTAAGGAAAAACCAGAATTTCATAATTTGTGTCATTTAACTATATGGATGTTGCGCATTATAATGGCATCAGAACAGCTTCAAGTGAATCACACACAGCATACTTTTAAGATAGAGAATGTGATAGCAGATATCATATCTTGGGTTGCGTAATTTAAACATTGTTCTTTATTGTTGTTTAATCTTTTCACGAAAGCTTTTTATAAAAATCTTATTGCCGGCCGGGAAATACTGCGAGTCCCTTCATTTTTAAGAAAAACATACACTATAATCACAAATCATCTCAGAGGCTCGATGGAAAATCGCTTATAGAGCATCATTTACATACATATTTTCATATGTACGTATATAAAATATTCTCATATACATATGTATATCCTTTTAAAATTACTCCATTTATTTGAGCTATGGATTTTATGCATAAATAACAGCTTTTTTATTTATATACGTACATACATATGTAAGTATTTACAATGAAATGCGTAGATTGTGGTTGATTGCAGAGCGTACTGTTCTTTGTATCGCACTTCGCATGATCGTAGGGAATGCCATTGAACCCGACTGACGACTAGTATTCAATTATAAAACTTTATTTTTTATTCAAACTGATAAAGGACAGCGAAAGATGATGATTAAAACCCGCAACGCGTATAAACAAAGAACCACAGTAAATGGTTTTCAAATAAAGAATTCTTTAAATATTGTCAACAAATGAATAGAATTTTACACAGCATAAAATAAATTCAAATTAATGCGTACAATAAATGACCGTATATTTTAATGTTTAAATATATATGTATTAATGCATGTATCTTAAAATTCACCTTTGTATTTCAGATGTCGAAGAAAGAGGAATATAGAGACATACTCCAAGAAGTACTTAGTGATTTAGAAACCTTTGAAAATTTGCTTCGATATGAACCCGTACGACAAAAACTCTTTATATGTATGGGCACACTGATGGGCAATGGCAAGCCGTTGGCCACGAGATTACAAAAGAATTTTACTATGCGTTATCGTAGGAAGTGCGAAAAAAACTTAGAAGTACACAAATTAGGGGAAAATTCTACAACCCATACCCTTGAAGATACAGATATGGTACCTGAAGAAAATTTGAATGTCTTTTCGTATTTCACTCCTTACGTTGATTATGTATTGGATGATGAAATCTTTGATGCAAAAGCTGTCGACTTCGGCTTACGTCTGGGCACATTTCTTTGCGAAGGCGGTTGGGTGACTGACAGCATACAGGTTTTACAATGCGTTGCAGCTAAAGTGTGCAGTACACCAATTGATGTAACAAATATTGCTGTATGTTTGGACTGTTTGCAAAGGTAAGTTATTGGGATAGAAGTTTAGAAGTAGCCAATATTATTATATATCTATGCCTCTCTTTTTTATTACATCAATAGACTTTTGCAAGCCGAAACAGTTATATGCGAATTCAAAGCGGCCAAACGTACATTTCAGGAAATTCAAAAAATTATCAAAACATATTCCGAGGACAAGATACCACCGTCCTTACTGACACAAATTTACACACGTTTCTCAGTACTATCTTTTGCGCGGAGTGAATATGGAAACAGTCAGAAGTGGAGCATGTTCGCCATACGATCTTTGAAAGAATCAATGCCGGAAAGGTATTTCTGATAACTTGGAAAACTTCAATTAAATTAATTTGTAAATTATTTCAGAATAATTGTAGACGCTTTAAGGCAGGCAGCAAGAGTATGTGTAGTTAAACGAGACTTCTCACGCGCAAATTTACTAATAAATCAAGCTGTTTCTAGAGCAAAGTATGTTTTTCATACCTAATATTTTTAATCTCGTCATTTGTCCTTGATTTTAATTATAATTTATTTAATAGAAAAGCCTTTGGTAAAAGACATCAAAAATATGCTGATGTCGTCTTCGATTACGGATATCTCAAACTCAATGTCGACTCTGTACATGAGAGTATTGCCGCCTACAAGGAGGCATGCTCAATAAGGCGTAGTATATTGGGTAATACAAGTTTTCATGTGGGAGTGGTGCACGAAGATCTTGCATATGCGTGCTATGTAAAAGAATACAGTACTGGCCGTTTCAATTCGGCCCGAAAACATATCGATAAGGCAATTGATATAATGGAAGCTATGCTGTCGTGTAATAGCCTAATGCTTGCATCAGCGAAGCGTGTAAAAGCATTGATATTTGAGGAAATCGTATTGGATAAAATATCTGAGGGTCGCGAAGATGATGAAAAATTGTTGAACCAAGCTGAGGAATTGCATCTTTTTGCGTTGTCTCTAGCTAAAGAGGAGTTCGGCGAAAAGAATGTACAAACTGCTAAACATTATGGAAATTTAGGGCGTCTCTATCAATCCATGCATCGATATGAGGTAAGTGGTTACACGTATGCTATTGAATTTTTCAAGAAGTGTAAAAAGTTATGTATATTTTATGTACAATATATATAAGATTATAAAGTATATGTTATTTGTATTTTTTTTTTTTAGGAAGCTGAAAAGATGCACCTAAAAGCTATAGATATTAAAACCGAAGTACTGGGTCCCAATGATTATGAAGTTGCACTTTCGGTTGGACATTTGGCTTCACTCTATAATTATCACATGGAAAAATACTCCGAAGCGGAAAAGTTATACTTGCTTAGCATTAGTATAAGTATGTAGCAAATAATAACAACTACTTATTTAACTAATATTAATTAATATTTGTTCTTTGTTCAAGACTCACGTATATTTGGAAAATACTATTCTGGCTTAGAATACGATTACCTGGGTCTATGTACTGTGTACGACAAGAAGCGTGAAACAATAAAATATTTAAAATTTGCTCAAATATTAGAGGATTGGCAGGCGATGCGTAGTGAGCAAGCTGCAGCGGTTCGTTGAATATTTTGCATTATATATAATATAATAATACATTTTTATAATTACAAAATTTCTAATTAATTTGCACTCTACATTTTAGAGAAAATCACCCTCAATTCCTTTATGTGATGACAGTGATGTAGAAGATGTGAAGTATAAGTTCTTTCATATGGATACGTAAAAATATTTTAGTAGAGCTAAAAGACACTGCGCTTTTTATTTTATGAAAGTATGCTTGCAACTTACAAAATCAATTTAAGTTTTACACATTGGAACAAGTACTACTACGTCATGTTTATTGAACGCTACTCTGATTTGCTCAACTATTATTATGAAATATTTAAAGTTAAGTGAATTGTTTTTGTAGAATTTAACAACGAATTTGCATACCTTTATTTTATATAACTTTTTTTTTTAGTTTATCCAACATTCATATATATTAGATGTAATTTTAGATAACGTAAACATATGTATGCTTGTTCACCTAGCGTTGTAAATGTACTCGTATATGCAATGTGAAAAATATGGAGTAAACTAAAGCAATAAGCAATGAATATTAGATTATATAGTTTAGTATAGTTATAGGATGCTATATGGAAAATATTGTGAAAGGCACAAAAACTCACTTACACTGATTAATATTTAAGCTTAAAAATAGTTGCTTGAATTTAAAGCAATATGACAAGCATAGTGATAAATTACAAAAGTGAAACTCAAGACTTTGGATTGTGCCCCGTTTTGTGATTCTAATCAAAACCAACAAAATATATATGCACATATTCTCCTAAGGACAGTCAATTAATACACAAAATTCTTCAGTTGTAGGCAGTAATTAAGTTGGATGTTGTACATTAAAGAAAGGTGCTAAAGATATTTTGTTAATCATCATTGACTATATAGTGACTCGTATGGGTAATATTATGTACTTTGTCATGAAACTGAAATTCTGTTGCGTTATTTTATACAATTTTCAAATGAAATTGTGTTATTTTAAGAGCTATATATATGTGTTTATGAATGAGCATTAGATTTTGCTGGTGCAAATTAAATTCATATACATATATATGTACATATAATGGCTTAATCTACAATCAAGTTCAATGTCATTGCATATGTGTTTGTGCAGAGGTTAATTTTTTAAACTGGTTTTGTTCAAAAAATTGTGTCTATTTGTCGCTAGTCGAAAAGCATTTTTCTTTTTATGTAAACAATATGTGTTCTTTAAAACTTTGATGCGTTTTTCGTTGCAGATTACATTTAGTTTTTTTACAAAAAAAAAAAAAGGAATATTTACATATATGGTGAAATAATTAAGTTTGAATTCGAATTAAGTATACCCTTTTGAAGTTTTTATGTTCGTCATATATAAATACTAAATTTCAGCGTTAAAAAAATTTTAAGTTAAGCAAAAAAATACTATTTGTAAGCTCAAACAATTGTTATGTTTATTTTTTAAATGTTTTTATTTCTTTAATTCGATTCATCCCTCTTTTATATATTTTTTATTTTGTGTTTAATATTATATATATATATACATATATATATATATTTACCACGTTTATATGTTTCTGATACATATATATATATTACATATTGTATTTTAAGATAAATATGTATATTATTGAAGCCGCTTAGAAAGGAGCCTTAGTTGATAAACATACGTAATGTACATATACACATATTATATCTTCCACAATGTGTGCTTCTTATCATGAGAAATAAAATCAAGAATAAAAAAGTAAAAAACAATAAATTACCATTATTATGATTTATTATTACGATACATTCAATAGGAAGTAGTAAAATTAAATTTTAAAGCCTTTTGTCAAGTCTTAGAAACACTTCACCACCAACAAAAAGAAACCCTTATGTTACTATACGATATTAAATGCAAAGAGAGAAGATATTTTTGTTTATTTGAAATGACTTTCACGTTTACAGTGATTTAAATTAAGCTCCACCGTCTTCAAAAGACGCCTCTAATTTAAGAAAAATAAAATTTAAAACCCTTTTCCTGTTTAACCGCCAAAAAGTTTCTAATCCGAAAGTCACTTTTCCTTGATACACTTATCTATTTCACTTTCTGCTTTTACCAGTTTTTTATTTATATTATTACTACTTTTTTAATTTATTATTTCTGCGATGTTATCACTCAACCGCTCCCATTTAACGGTCAGCGGTCACTCGTTCAAATCCACTTGTTGGTATAGTGTGTAGATATGTTTTTGTTTGGTGGCTCAAGCTGTGTATATGTAAGTAAATCTGTATATGTATGTATCATGGTTACATACATGTGTGCTACTGTCACTTTTCTTGAATAAAAATAAAAAACAAAAATTAAAAAAATAACGACCAAACATTAAAACACTACAACAGCGTCATTAACAGAAATACGTAGCATGTACATATGTACATCCACATAAATGTACATAGTGCGAGCGCATGCGTGTCGTTGCTGTTGATGGCTTGGGTGCTCATGTGTAGACACTTCACTTACCAATGCCCACTCTTTTGCTTGCTTTTTTTTTTAAATAATACAAAAACAAGAAAAAACAAAAAATGAAAGTAAAAAAGAAGTAACTCGAAGTTTTCACCGTCTTTGAACATGTCAAATATTTTTAATGTTTGCAAACAACATACATATGTATGTACATATGCTTACAACACACACATACTTCATATTTGTTTGCCATGTGTCCAGACGTAGACCCAGTCAAACAACAAATATCTGGTTTTGGTTTTTTCTGTACTTTTTTTATCACTAGAAAAGTGAAGCCGGCAAAAAGATGAAATACTACAAATACTCGCATGTGTACATAATATAATATATTCTTCTTGTTTATTGGCGTAGGCACCGCCTAATAGATTATAGACAAGTTGGCAGCAGCGCGCCAATCGTTTCATCTGCATTTTGCCTCTTGTTTTTCATCTATCTCCCGCCCAGCCTACACCTGAAGTACAGTCGGAAAATCCAAAAGAAAACCAGTACCATCCAGACTGCAGAAAATCGCGGTTACTCTTGTCTCTTACTCTAAACAGCTACAGATTTACTCACCTTCTTTACTGGCGCAGACACCGGTTACGAGGTTTTAGCCGAGTCAACAACAGCACACCATCAACATGTTATTTTCTCTATACGGCGTCATTTGGAAACACCAAGTTCAGCCAGATGCTTCTCCATTTGGACTTTCCAACGGTGTGGAGGTCTTCGACTTCATCTGCTTTTTGCAGAGTGTATTGCATCGAAAACTATCAAAGCTGGAGTATTTTTATCCATCCGGACCAGCTGGATGGGAATGATGACTTGTATAGTTTGGTTTTGGTTCGTCGAGATTGGGCTTTACTTTTCAATTGCCTACTCAGTTCACAGCAGCACCTGTTGGAAAGAATCATTGTACGTTCTGCTGGTCCCTAAATAGACGAACTTATCCACGACCTGGCAGTTATGGCTGTGAACAGTTGGAGTTAAGACGCAACTCCGCCGAGTGTTTATTCATTGACAGCAGATATTTCACCCATACCCATTTGCTTCTCTTTCAATCCTGAAATATTCACAACTAACGCCGCGGTTATTGTGGTCAGTGACATTAATGTCATCGGTATACGTCAGAAGTTGTACACTATTGTAACAGATTATACCTTGTCCGTTTAGCTCTGCAGCTCTTTTTATTTTCTCCAGCACTAAATGGAAGAAATCCCAAGATAAAGAGTCACCCAGCCTGAAAGCTCGTTTTGTTTTGAGCGACTTAGAGAGGTCCTTTCCAAGTCTTCAGCGTGAACTCCACTTCAGATTCGTCAAGCGGCGTTCGTTAGTCGTTAGTCGTCTCGTGTTTTTAGTTAATCGAAAATGTTCCAGGAACAGATGAGGAGTTGGCTTGCCAGCGAGTTGAGAGTCAATACGACACTTGACTTTGTCATTGGCGACGATAAGGCTATCCATGTAGGTGAGTATTTCCAAGTGAATAGTTTTCTTCTTCATCGCTTGAAAATTGTTAACTGAGTTTGGCAGACGCGCAGAAAAGATTTGAGATTGGCTCGTACTACAGCTACACCGCACCGCAGACCGAGGGTTATCTGTTTGAATCATAAAAAATTAATTTAATAAATTGATTAAATTAGTTTTTCTAACTGCGGTTGCCAGGGAATGTCAACCACTAAGACGTACAGAGGCCGCTTAGAATAAAATGTAGGTCGGTCCACTTGTTGGAAAAATATCGAGAGCCACACCTCAAATTGAAAAAGCAGCTCAGTCGAAAGTCGCTACAGCGGTGATACTAGGACTTTATGTAATATATTACTCGTTTTGCGACCACTTCCTGAATACGATTTCATAAAAATTATATTATCAAATGATATAATTCCAACTTGTGCCGGGTAAGTGCGAATTTATCTGTAATTACAAAAACTGTCATAAATCGTAATTCAATTTCCTATAAATTCAATGAGTCATAAAGTGAATGCCCACAGATTACCATTAATCTGTCATTTCGCAGTAGTTTTCTAATTTAATTTATTTGCATTAATCACTCTAGAGATCAGTTAAAATGCAAATGAAGCCCGTTTATGGAGTTCACATTATTTCCATAAAGGCATATCGTGCCATTGTTCATAGTTCTAAGATGACTAGTTCTTAAATCTCACTTCAAACTAATATTTCTTTAATAAGAATATATAATGAGTTTGCCTTATTCTTTCCTTTTCGTCTTTCTCTGCTACTTACAGTGCTAACTAGATCTTTTTTTCAGTAAAGGACAATTATTGAATTTTTTTGTGTTGAAGTCTGGAGTGTCCTTATTATTGAGGGTGCGTCGTTAATATTTTCATTTGTTAGAGCACAAGGACCAAACTGCTCAGAGATACTCTCTCAGAAAAAGATACCACGACAAAGAGTCACCTTTTCTGAAGCCTGACTTTGCAGCGAACGACTCGAAGAGGTCCTTCCCAGTTCTTACTGGCATTTTTATAATGTCGAAAGTCAGTTTACGCAGCCGGAAATTCAGACATAGTGCTGTCGAAGGCGGTTTTAATATCGATAAAAAGGTGGTGCGTATCGTTTCATTTCTCATGGGTGTTTTCCAAGATTTGATCTAAAATCATACTGATAGTGTCCAATCAGTTTGTTGCTGGTGGGCTTTAGCCTTTCTTACAATACGCTCGATGGGTCTTAATATGTATGGGTTGGGCAGAGCACACTAAGCTTTCAAACATTGGGTATGCTTTCATCATCATCTGACCATGTGTATAGCCACCATGTATGAATAGCTTTGCCGAGAACCCATCGGCTTCAGCCGTCTTGTTGTTTTTTGCGGGGAAAATTGGTATTCGGACTTGACATAGTCGGATTATGGGATTATGGAACGGTTTTTTTATCATCACCATCCCCGGGTCTTGCGCTATCATTGCCATTCAGCCAGCTGGAAAAGTGTTCGCTCCATACATTTAGTACGATCTGAATATCGATCACCAGATCACTCCCTTGGTTCCTACATGAGTATGCTCTGGTCTTGAAGCTTACTATGAGTCGGAGCGTAGGCAAAATTAAAACGAAATTTCGAAAAATTTCATCCATCGGAGCTAATGCCAGTACTCGGCGCCGGGGACTCTCTTTCACCACATATCCAACACCAAATTTGAGGTTCAATATGTGTGGCCATTGTATTATATTTCACAAACCTAAATTCTACCGTCCTTATATCATCCAACTGCGCTGGAAAGAATACCAAGACGTGTGAGAGGTGCTCGGCCGAAAATTGCTTCAGCGGTGATATTTGGACTTTACAAAATGTATTATTTATAGTATATTTTCTATATGTTGCTTCCCAAACCCTACCACGGCGAGGTGCTTCAACCTCGAAAAATATCGTTCAATATTCCTAGGTAAGAGTCTACTTTATGGGTCGTGACTGCGTGCACCATCTAACAGAGATTTTGAAATCAAATCGCTTCAGCTTTGAAAGTATTCGTTGCAGGACCCGATAACAGGATCAGGTGGAAGAGCCAGATGGAGAGCGATCTGCTTTCACTTGGTATTTCAAATTGGCACCAAACAGCGTAAAGGAGGGATGATTGGCTATTGTTGATTCGGCTATAATCGTGTAAGTGATTCCTACGCCAATGAAGAAGAATGTTTTGTATGCAAATAAACAACAACACACAAACACCTATAAATAATTATTGACCAGATAATAGTGAGTGGAGTGAATGGATCACAGATATTCTCTCGAAACTGTCCCACATCAATTAAACGCTTCATTGATTACAAATTCAATGATATCTTCATTTTAAAAACCATACCCATCAATACGTACACATGTACGTGTATGTATGTATTTGTTTATTTGTCAACCAGTCGTCAGCGTAAAATCAGTGGCGGGTGCAGTTGACCAACTATAATATTATGCGAACGTTGGCCAACATTAAATATGCATTTAATTAGACATGAACACACACATTTACACAACGTACAAGCTCTGTGTATGTGTGTGCGCGCCATGCCATTATTCACACAACGAGAGAGCGTTTCCAAACGTCAGCGAGAGTGATAAAGTGGCGCGCCGATGGCTGACTGACTTGACTGGGCGCCAACAACTTCAGCCAAACGCTTTGAGCCGGGTTCAAATCAGTTGTTACCACTGCATGGCTGTGTGCAGTAACGCGACTTTTAGCAAACGTTTGGTAAAAAAGGAAATAGCAAAAAAAAACTCGGCTAAAGACGTGATAGTAAAAAATTAAACCTCTTTACGAGCGTTGGCGAAGGTTAAAATCAAACGATTTCTGTTTATTGATTTCAAAGTGCGTTTTGTGGAAAAAAAAAGAAAATATATAATATTTAAATACAGAAAATATTACAAGTAGCTCATTTGCGTTTGGTAGCTGAGGGCTGCGCATGCGTATATTTACCATTATATATATACGTATAATCAGTGCATTTCGCTATTTAGCATCTTGGTCGGTCGTTTGGCACTTCGCTGCGTGCGTTTGTTGGTCTAACAGAAGTGCGTGTGTGTGTTGTGTTAATTTTTTAAATGATTGTGCGTGTTCATAATAAATTTGTCATGATGTTTTATTTGTTATTGCTGGAGGCTGCTCCTAATCCTCGTGCGTTGTTGTTGCTGCTGCTTAACGATAATTATTAATATGCATGCTGTGATGTTGTTATTCTTGTTGTTGTTGTGGCTGCAGATAATGTTGCAGTACCTCGTTTGGCTTTAATATGCTTTTAGTGCGATTTCTCATTCCAACTGCCAACTGTAGTTTAAGTACAATACATGCATATGTATGTAGATATGTATGTGTTGCCAAAACCCCGTCTTTCACAACTTACTCGTATCTGCCCACAAATGGAAGTGTTCATGCATATACAGTGGTGGGCAAATTAATATAAATTAGATCAATTTAAGGATTGAACCAACGAAATTAGAAGTGGTCCATGGTGCAAAAAAATTTTAACTCGTGAAGTGATAACAACTTTATACCTCGGAGTGGAAAAATCTTTTAAAGATATAAAATGTCTTAGAGGAAAATGAAAACATTATCGATCGGAGGGGAAAAATTAATCAAATAATGCTTTAGACAATGCGAATATGCAGAAAATATTTTTAAAGCAAAATTTATTTATCTATCCACCTTTGCCCAACACAAAATTTTAAAACGCTGTTTCACGCTTGGCCTGCAAGTTCTTGCAAATTCGGACCTCAAAAACCAGTTCGATTGCTCGTATTTTCATTTTGAAAGCTCAGTTTGGAGAGCAAACAGGCTGCCTACCTCGCAAGACAATAAAATAGAGAAGCGAGACGCATATTGAGACAAAAAAGAAAGAGGTTGAGATTCGAACCCGATTCCCCAAACGATGACTATGGAACTAATTTTTTATCATCTCACTACGAAGAAGTTCGAATAGGGAATGTCCACTTAAAGAACAGTAAAGCGATGACTCTTGAGCAGAACTTGAAAAAGACCAGTGAAAAGAGACTGACCTTAATTAACACCAAAACCTTGGTCAGGATCGGACAGGACATCGCCGAGCCGTTCGATACCAAACGAGGTTTCAGACAAGTTGATTCCTTAACGTGTGACTTCTTTAATTTATTTCTGGAGCAAATAATGCAAGCTGCTGAGCTAAACAACGAGAGAGGAGTATTCAATAAAAGTGCAAAGCTGCTGGCGTAAGCCGATGATATTTATTGGCTTGGCCATCAACTGAGCCGTTGTTCCTGTTTTTCCCAGGCTAAAAAAGGAAGTGAAGCGCTTGGTCTGGCGAGACGAAATATCTCCAGTCGTCATGTCTCTCACGACACTGTTGGCAGTCATAAGTTCAAAGTCATAGGTAACTTCGTCATGTGGTCACGTGGTCCGGGTGGATAAAAACACTACAGCTTTCAAAGATTTCGGTGCACCGGCGGATTTTGGTAGCAGCAGACGAAGAAGAAGACGTTCACTCCGTTGGAAATACCAGGTGGAGTAGGGCCTGTAAAGAAGAATAAAAAAGTTGACGAATTGCTCAATTTATATAAAAACAATTTCTCATAACAGCATTTTTCTCTTCTTTTGGCATGACAGCCAGTCTTTACGTCCCTATAGATCACTCACACAATGGCCAGCTAGATTCCTTCATTCATCTTGGAAAAATAGTTTATGTACATAATTTAAATTATTTTGTCCTTAAAATCTGGAGACTCATCGAAAAGCAGCACATAAAACTCAGCATTGACCAACTTTTGCAAAATTTCGTCGTGAACCTCAATCTTGCTGCTCCCGATGAGTTGATTTTATGTGGTTTTACTAAGTTGAGACTCCAGGACTTGATCACATCACCCAAATCAATTCCCAAGCGAAAGGCATTCTTAAATGCGATTTTTCACAGGAGCTGTGTAGCCCAACTCTCTGTGTTTATGGAACAGAATATTTTGACTACCTCAGAAAGTAATTATTGTTTTCTAGTTTCTCCGAAGCACAGCTTTTCTTACTTCTGTGAACTGTTTGTTGGTTTCTTAAAAAGTTTTTTAATCTTTTCACTTGGATAAAATTCTAAAACTAAAGATGCACACCACAAATGGAAGGAGGAGCTCGTAATAAATCGCTATTTACATATATGTACACACACACATACTCTTGGTCATAAAATTTCGCCCACCAATAAGCGTATACATTTCCCTGCCCACCACCTGTAAATAGCGTTAAAATTTATTTCTTCACTTTTGCGAATGCTCTCGCTGCATTGACCGATTTTCCAGCTGAGCTTGCGAAACTGCAGACAGTGGAGCACCATCAACAATAACAATGCCAACTACAATAAGAGTATCAACGCTCTTTTTTCTCATTTTAAAATTAGCAAAACTTGCATGACAACTGTTGCCACAAAGAGCTCTTTCATGGCTCTACTATACAAATGGTGCAGAAAAAGACTGAGACATCTACCGGCACATACATACGCGTATGTATGGATAGAAAAAAGTGTATTGTTTTTGATCTCATGCTTTCCGTTGCATGCTGCGGCTGTAAATCGTACCTTCGCCTTCTATCAACAACAATTTACTTCTTCGATTAGCGCTAAAAAGATTTAGAGCAAATTAAAGCAAATTAAACTTATATCTAGCGACTGTGAAAGTTGGCAATGAAATTTAACAAAGAAAAACCCGCTGCATGTGGGGGCACTACATACGTGTACACATGCTGTGCGGTTATTTAATTAATTAATTTAATTTTAACTTTAAATATTTATGTAGGCCGATTTTAAAATAGATACTTTTTTCTTTCTTGAATTTTTTTATATTGATTATTATTATTTTTAATTAGTCTTATAATTAAATTATATATATTTATTTTAAACTTTATTTTTTACATAAAGGAAATTAGCGTCAGAAAAAATATTTATTTATTATATTATATTTATTTATAATAGTTTAATATTTTTGTTTTGAATAATTTTAAATTATTTTTTTTTTAAATTTGTCCTTTCATTTTACCTAAACAATCATTGAACTCAGTGCTTATTTGGACTTCACAATACAAAAATAGCCGCTTTTTAGTTTCGCTCTTAAACGTTTAGCGCATTTTAATTATAATGTTAATCAAGCGAAGGAGCAAATAAAAAATAAAATTAAATCAAATTAAAATGTGAATAATGTAGTAATGGCAATGCACTTTAGGGTGCGACACCTTCTAGAAATATGAAGTTATCGAATAAGGTAACAATAAAAAATGTGAAAATTTGAGGCAAAGCTTGGAGAAAAGCAATTATAATATACACTATAATCGATGCTTAATTTTTTAATTAGTCTACTAATAATAATATAACTTACTTTATTGTTTACGGCATTGAAATTGCTAGTTTTTTTTATTAAAAAAAGAATCCTAAATAAATCACCATGAAAATTAATTATATTAATAATTTTAAAGTTCTAAATAATCATAGCGTGGTTAATGATTTGAATATTAAAATTCCGTTTAAATAATTTCTGAGATTAATTGATTATTTCTGCAGATCACTAATGCATGTAATCGTTGTCTCTAATATATTAAATGTGTATAATAATACTACATAAATATATATATGTACATATACAAATACATGTACAATGACTAATATTTTTTACATGCATACATATATACCTAATTGAAGTTAAAAGGGTTAAATGAGTTTTATACGTTTAAACTTATTAATTATTTTGACAATAATATTTTTTTTTATGTCTTTAAGCATATATTTACATATGTAGATAGATATGTAAGATGACGCACAAAGTCCGTTATTATTCAGAGTAAGTTAATCAGGCTTGTACTACATAGAATTTCCGTAGGTCAATAGAATTATGATTCTAATTTGAAACATTTTATTAAAAAATACTACATTAACAGTTCAAAAGCATTGAAGCAAATTTATTTTCTTTTAGTAAAGTTTTGTATCGCACTTTTCAAGAAATACCGCTTCAAATATTTCTAAATAAAATATATACAATTCCAAAAATTCTCAAGATAGGAGTGGCACGGTACAATGCTCTTTGTATATTATCTTTAATTTTTATAGTTTGATTTTCTATGTACCTGAATTGGTATGTTAACTTTGTTCAAAGGAAGGAGGAGAGTTAGATTCAGCAAAATGTATACCGACGGGGTCAGAATGACGAATTAAGTTGATTTAGCCATGTCCGCTTGTCCGTCTCTTTGTACGCTAACTAGTAAACCCTCAGTTATAGAGATATTTAAACAAAACTTGGTAAACAAATGCACTGGTATATTTGAACGATTATTTGTCGGAATCGGCCAGATCGGACCACTTTAGCATATATACCTAAATATATATATATCAGCATACATATGATTAATTACATATTGTCACCGAAAGTCATCGAAATCGGACGACTATGCATATAACCCTCATACAACCGATTTTTTCAGTATGAGATTTTGTATCAAAATGTACCGTGAAAGAATTATCCGTAAATATGGCATTTTGGTATTCTACACACATACTTATATACACGTATATAAAACCAGACATTGACACTGGAAATCATCGAGATCTGAAAATTTCAACATATAGCCCTTCAACCAATTTTTCAATTATGAGAATTAATATTTAATCCTAAAATGAAATACCATAAACTTTGCATGGTCATTAAAGGCATTAAAACTGCGGCATTACCCAATACAGCTTTTCTTTATTGTTTTACTTTGTTTTATTTTATTTTAATTTGTTTAATTAATTTAGTTTTTTTTTAATTTTCGCTTAGTTTTATTTAATTTAATTTTCTTTTTTTTTTCATTTTGCCCTTTTTTATATTGATTAATTT